TACAATGGCTTTGTAGTGATGTAGGTTGTGAGAAGGATATGCTAGAGTTAGAGAGATCTACAAAAGATAACTTTGGTTCGAATAGGGGATGATTGGCTTCTTGAAGAAAAGAAGTGCTAGTTTTATTTGAAGGTTGGTTATTGACATCTACTGGAGGTTGAGATGTAGAAAGAAAGAACCAAATGTTGTTCAACATGATAAAGATGAATCAATGGCAACAAGCAAAATACTCAAAGAAAAAGCAATGGTACTATAGAGGATTATAAGAGATAGAGGATGATTGAAGTGTCATATAACTTGTGCTTATATACAAGGCTTGGTGGTTACCTACTAACCAATGTTATTATTTAAAGATTCTAAAGTTATTGCCTAATTATAACCAAAGATCTAAATAAATAATGATTAAAATCATAAAATTTTTTCTATTAATAAAACTATATAATTAGATTATAGGTATTGATACTATCAATGCAATGACAATCATGTACCATCATGGTCATAATCACATAGTAAGTCCTTTGGCATATATTAAATATAGCAAATATTAGCATCAACTTTAAATAGTGATTAAAGTTATTGAGAGGAGAAAATCCACCACAAAAAATAGATTGTTTCTATTTTCTAAAGATCACCATTAGCTTAAGAATTAGATTTTATATTTTAAATCTATTTAAATTATAAAATAGAATTTAAGCTTCAAAATTTTAAAATTAATTAGCAAGATAGAGTAATTAGATTTGAGATTTTACTAATCACGGCCAAATTTCAAATTGGCCTTTGAATTGATATTGAGATTGAAGATTAATTCAAGATATAATTTCTAAGAATGAAAAGAGAAATTCTACAAAAATTCTAGTTTTAGCACTAATAGAAAATTTAAACCAATTTAAGGAAAAAGAAATCATAGACCTTCTAAATTTATTATTTTTAGAGTTTTAAATAATCAATCAATCTAAGAATTTAAAGAATCCATCTAATTAATAATCTAAAAATATAATAAAAATCATAACTAACTAAAAAACTAACTTGGATCCATTAATTAATCATATATAGTACTATATTTAGTAAAAATATGTTAAAAATTACAAAAGTAATTGTAACTAATCATTGTAGCTATTAATTGTTTTCATACTATGTTGAGTCCATTGTGTTGGGAGCTTGCTAGAGCTACCAAGAGAATGTTTATTTACAGCAACGTTCAATATATAGAGTGCAGTGGACTATCTGAGTATCTTTGAGATATACCAACCAATTAGGACGGATTTGACCATGGCCTACGACTAAAACATTGCACTTTTGGATCCTTTGGGTATGGCATCCTTGTTCTCTTTTTTTATTTCTATGATAGACATCAAACTATTGTTTCGAGAATGTGTGCCCTCTTTTGGTGTTTAGAATTACATTCAAGTAGAATTAGGAAAAAGAGTCTTTAGGAGTTTTTGTAGTAGTACAAATACTAGGATTCTAAGTAGTTGGTGTATAATAAGTGGTTGAGGTATGATAAGTGTCTAGAACTTTGAAATACTAATACTCTTTATATGCAGAGATTGCTATTCTTAAAGAAGCACCTAGTCCATCTTATAAACATGATGAGCTCCTTAAGATAATTCAACTATTCTTCCTCCCATACAATCCTGATTCGGAGTTTTTTCAACCAAATTCATCCAACACCTTACATATAGATTCCACTCTTGAGAGTAGCTTCCTTAATCCACTTAATAACGTCATATTTCCACTAGTTTATCTAGGTGTCCCGTTTGATAGTATGTTAGAAATCAATCTACTACCATACATATAGAGATTTAATGATTATAATGACAACATGCCATATCATATTTCTAATAGAGATTTATTATGTAGTGAGAGGCCTATAAGACTGTCATCGTGGCTATTTGAATTCAAGGTATACCTATGTGCAATGGCACAAAATCCATCCTTTACCCTGTCGTTGTCGTATTACGTGCATCCCTGCTCCAGAACGCACCGGGCGTCTGGCTATAGAAGGTAGTATCGAGATTCGCTAATATTCAAGCAGTTTATCAGTTTTTGACTGTTGGAATATAAAAAACTACAAGAATATACCGTAAATCTATAAGGATGTCTTTGGACTGCTCGTCAAAATCCTTTTTGCCCCAGCCGGTAGGTCTCTAGACATTACAGAGAACCCCGAACAACCCAAACTGCTAATCTTCGATACCGCTTTATACTCACGATCTTATATCCACTGACTGTCTTATTAGATTAACCCAATAAATTTCATTCACTCCGCATATTCAATCCTATAGACACCCTTTTAATTCTTCATCACAAACATAACTCGATTTCACAAAATAGTCAAGAGTAATCACACCTACTTCATTAAAATCCCGATTCACCAGTACAACACTGACTTCAGGAACAATTGCGTCAGTCTTCTCAAAACCCTATGAAGAAAAAAAATCCAATTCTCTCTCTTTTTTCTCTGCCCCAAAGCATGAAGCTAGTTCTCTGACCCTTCTAAAAAACCTATTCTTTCCTCTCATTTCTTAACCTATCCTCCCCTTTAATCCTTAATTCTCTCCTCTCTCAAACCCTAGTCTCTGAATTTCTTCAATGTTCCGTCTTGGATCCGAAATTGGCTCCTGCCGTTAGAGCTTTCTCCTCCGTTTTTACCTTTCAGTGATATTTTTACCGAAAGGACGTTCTCGGAATGGCACAAAGGATGGAACAGCCTGAAACAGAATCGGAGCCTCGCAATTGGGACCACATTGAGTCGCCCGACCAATTCAGGTCTCATATTGGCTAAGAAGCCCGTAGTAAGACCTGGATGTTCCCATAATTGGGTCAAATTGGTCCTTGGCGTCAGATTTTCTAAGAGGCCTGTAGTAAGACTTGGATTTGATGTCTTGAAATTGGATCCAATTGGCTCTTCGAACCAGACTCATGCGTCGTTGAATTGGTCCTTTCCCTTCCTGTTGACTCCCGTTATTAGAATTGAATGGAGCATTTCAGTATGCCCAGGCTGATTGTAACGGGGTGACTGAACCTGGTCTCTCAGTATTTGCACTGGAATTGGTCGTCGCTCCCAATATTCGAGGTAATTGAACATTAATAAAAGTCCCTTTCCTTTATATTTTCACGGTATACTCGTGTTACAACACGACATCGTACCTTGAGTTTCTTTCAAGGTATCAATGAATAAGATCTAATTTCATCTTCTCATTATCAACAGACAATAATAAGGTCCAATTGTCATCAAAAGATAATGGATAAGACCTTTGTTTAATCCTATATTGTAGACTTCTAGCCGATTGCTTTATTAATTGATGCGGTTGGGCAGGGAAGAGCAACCTCGAATAAAGTGGGACAATATACGAAGCAGTAGCAAGACTTTATGGATGAATCTCAAACGGACTCCTCAAAGTTTTGTTGGGGTTGGAATGGACTTCTTACTGAAGTCACATCTACATTTCATGGAGTTGATCTAAATTGAAAAACTCGACCTAAAAGAGTAGTATGCCCTAAACTGAATGTTGGCCCTCACACTCTTGTGAACTATGTTGTTGTTTTCCATGAATCATCATATTCAATAGAATGGCACAATGCAATGATAATGGTACAAGTTTCGGTGCTCACTGAAAACCTGTATTGTAAAGCTATAATAGATTTTTAAGCTTTCAATGCCCTAAGAGCTATAATTTTGGCAACTAGATTCTACAATTTATTGTATGGGATGATTCAACAATTTTGTAGGATATGTGCAGTCTTGATGAATTTCTAAAATCATATCTGGTGGATGCAAGTTGACTCATATGTTCAAGACCTCATCTTAAGAAAGAGTCGACAAATTTTGTTGCTTAGACTTTGAATTGATAATGTGCAAGTGAATGATTTTTTGAATGTATTGAATGGAGATGGAGGGGCATATGGAATTCTTGGAGCTTATTATGGCTCATTTAGATATGAAGGTTGAGTTAGGAAATTGATATTGTAATACAATTGCCCCAAGACTTTTGATTCATTGACTAATGGGTGGAATCCTAAACCCTTTCATAATGACTTCATGTTTACGATGTTCTCCAATTGTGTTCATTTCACAATAAAGATGTATTTTGATGTACAATTTGATAAATTTGTAATTAAAATGACATGGAAATTTCTCATGTATTAGTTCTTCTCCATTTGTATCACCATTTGTATCTATTTTTGACATTAGATAGATTATATTAGGTATTTTAATATGGTATCCAAATTGATGCATACATATACCAACATTACATAGTACACATAAACTCCTTTCACTACAGTATGCAATTTCTTTATGTCTTGAAATACCACAGCACATTTAAAACTGACAAGAGTCCATATTTGGATGAACATCAAAATAAATTGAGTGTGATATAGACTACACTGAGCTTCTTAGATTGATGCTGATGTCACAATTACATCAGTATGACAAATTCTACTGGCACTTGATAAGCGCTTCTCCATATTCACGAGGTTAACATTCCAATGTCTTCGTCTTGCATCATCCCAACTTCAAAGTTGCCCACTTTGTCTTGTCCTACATCTGCATGGATGAAATTCTGACTGCAAATTATCACAAGCACCATGATCTGAAGGTGCAAATTCACTAGATTCTATTATTTACCAAATACAAGGTTCATGGTACAAACAAGGTCTACAATCCTAAACTAAGAACTAAATCCAAATAATTTCCATAGTGCAAAGAAAATGCCCCACAAATTTATAAATGATCATTCCCATCCTGGTTGTATTAAATTTTCTCCCTCCATTTTAGCCCTGATTTCTTGATAGTGACAAAGAATTTAGGAGCTCCAAAAGGAGCAATGGTTTCACTAAAAAAACATGCAAAATAAAGTTGGAAACATAATGGACATTAATAGTACATAAATTTAGATATTTTACTACAAGTATTTAGAGAATTACTATTTCAAGGAATGCATGCAATTCAATCAAAAATTGTTGGTCATATGGAGAAACATTAATCAAATATTGTCAATGGTGTTTGAAGAAGTATTGTTGCCTATTCTCTGGGTTATACGATTCATGACACAAATATCAAGCTTAGTTAGCAATGCTAATCAAAGCATAGTCTCATCCTCAAGCTTAGTTGGTAATGTTGTTCTAGCATAGTCTTTGCCTGCTTGAAATACTATCTATTTGGCTTATGGCTTGTATGATTTGTTTCCATCTTCACTTAATACCATGGTATACTAGGCCTTCATGCTTTGGAGTACACAAAACCTATCGCCAACTATCATAAGATGCTTGGACTATGGCCATTGCTGAGTAATTTACAACCTCAACCATCCATTATTACATTTTTATGGATGCCTTTTATGTATCAGGTGCCACCACTAGCGAGAATTATCCCTCACAATTGCAGAACAATGGAGAAGTGCAGTGTACAAACAGGATGCACAAAACTCTCCTGCACACCTAAGCTCGAATTTGGTCTCTGAAAAACCTGCAACCCAGCTCCCATGTAGTGCAAGGTAGAATTTGTCTTGCATCCATATGAAGTGCAATGCTATGCAGCTTGGGGAATGAAATTGCACTAGCAATTAAGTCAGAATTAAGGAGAATAGGATTTAAATTGAGCATTTGCAACTTGGATGTTGTAGTTGCAATTAATGCAACAGAGGCCCACCTTTAGAAGAAGCCGTCTCAAGAACTTATTACCCGCCGCCCTTTACCAGCTGCCTTATCTGCAAATCTTTGAACAACCCTTGCAGCTGTTTTCCTGTGAAACCTCCAAGGATACTTGATTGTTGTCGGATATGGTTCCATGGTACTACTCTGTGGATGTGCCTAAATTTGTTAGCAAGTTTGCACACCTCTCTCCTTTGAGGAATACTGAAATTTCCCCCCTTTCCGTTGTGTCTTGAACAAATCTTCAAGATCCACCCTTCTTGTTGGGGTGCACACTTTCTCAATTTGCAAGTATAAGGTCCACCAGAGCCACACCTCATTGGAGAGCTATTGTGCTCCTCTTGCAGAACATCAAAATGTTGAATTGACTGGATATTCACCAAAACCGGCTCGTCATCGGTACCCCTCGCCACCTCGGGAGTCCACACAGGCTCTTTCAAGTCATCTCTTGAAGAGGAAGAGTGACGTAGCTTCGACATCTTGCAAAACCTCCAAATTTGAAGACTGCTCAGTGACACCTTCCAACGACTCCCCGGCAATATCCCGCACCACCTCGGGTGTCCACACAGGGGGGTCTAAGTTAACTCCCCCGAACAAAGTTGATGCTATAGTAGCTTCATTATCAACTTCATCGCTAGCAACTTGACAACTCTGAAGCTTTCCCACATGCAATACCAACGAATGGTACTAAATTCTGATTCGGGCAAGACATTCAATATAACAAAGTAAAAATCACGATAAAATATTACTAAGGGACCACTGAGGAGAGACACATGACAACATCTAAAGGATAAGGTTGGTTACAAAATGCTAACCATGCCGTACCTGTTGAATTTTGCAGTGATATACACAAAGTAATTCAGATGCATTAGGAACATGACTAAAACAGTACACAATTATACTCAAAGATTTGCATATTAGGCAGCAGGATATCAAGTGAAACGTATACTATGAGCATTCCGATACCAATTTCCGGGGATAATATGTTTAATGCATACAATATGTAATTTCCATGGTAAAGGTCAACATGACATGTGTCGGACTTGGACTTTGACTGAGGGATACAAATTGCATTGATTCTCTACTTTAAATTTGTTTTTTTCTATCAATGTTGACTTGAGCTCTACCTCAACAGCACCCAGTTTGTGTATCAGCTTCTCCAGGTCTTCTGGCAACCCATCGCGCTCTTTTCCTAGAGCTGGTACACAATTACCTGATTCCGTGTTTGAAAAGTCTGACAAGGAACTATATATACTCACCTCCTTCCATGATCTCACCCAAAGTTTCGGTTACTGTCGCCAATTCAGCCTCTGTATCAGTCTGCCGCAACCTTTTTTTTTCCATTCTTGCTCCTTCAAACGTTGTTCACGCTTTGCATCTGCATTCCTCTGCTCTTGCAGCTCCAGAGCTATACGCTCTCGCTCCAAATCCTTGGAAATTTGCACCTCGTTCTCAGAATTCAACCTCATTGTCTTCTTCCTGAGCTCAGCCAATTCTCTACCCTTTCTTTTCTACTCCCTCTCCTTCTCTTCAATTTCCTGGTCTTTAATATTATCGTTCTGCTTGCGTAGATCCTCAATGTAAGCATCATTCTTGGGTAGTTACTCAGTCGTTGCTGTAGATATTTGTTCATTGCTGGGTGATTGTTGATCATCGTGGATGTCAAAAGTTCGTTTGTCTTGTATAGTTGGTGAGAGCACGGGAAATAACACCTCATCGAGACGCATCTTAAGTTTGATGGACTCCCAGAACCAGTTTTGAGACACGACCATCAACCCCATATCTTTCGCTACCTGGTACTTCCGGCCTTCTAGCAAAAGCACAATCAAATGTGAACATTCTTTGGTGAGGTCTCCGTTGTAAGCAGCCTGGTTTCTCAGAGCAACTCTTTGAATACGATAACTATCGTACACCTGGTTGTAAGACGATACTGGAGATATAATTTCCACTGATCGATCAACGCATACATGCAATTACATATCCAGGCGATTGAAGCCTGCAGAAGATTGAACCTCGTATTCGATAAAATGGCTGAATCCAGTGATTTTGGCACAGTTTTGGGCACCAGTTGAAAACCTGAAATCTAAAGCTGTATTTGATTTTAAGGCTTTTAATTCCCTAAGAGTCATGATTTTGGCAATTGGATTTTGCCATTTTATCGAATATGAGGTTATTGTTACTTCACTAGTAAGAAGCATAACATGTAACATGAGTTTTTATAGATAGAGGACTCCTGTTGAATCCCTTCTTTCCTACATAGACAAAGGTGTGCCTCTACAAGTCCAGCATGTTTGTGAATCATGACCCATGAAGTTTCCAGAAATTTTGAGATAACTCACGGGATCCTTGGACGATGATGACTGCTAGGGAGCATTCGCGTATTTGTTCTTCGTAGCAGCAAGTGCCTAGACTCCTTGAAAACCGACAAGTTCTCTTCGAGATCGCGACTTATGTCAAGATCAAACAGATCGGGAGTTGACGGTGACCTATTGATCACTGACAAATCCTCATCAATTAACGAGCAGCCAGATTTCTCCTACATATTTAGGCTCTTGCAATTTCTGGCACTACAAAATGTATTTATGATGTTCTTCATCCAGAAGCAAACCTGCAAATCACAGCAAAAAGATTGGTTATAATTATGAACAGTGTATGAACACGTGAACAATAAATGTGTGATTAGTGAATACATATTCATTCCATGTCTCTACAGGAAAATAATCTCACTAATTACCATGAAACGAATGTACAAAAGACATTAAGAGGAGTAGTCATAAATGCACATATACCTTGCTCTTGGTTGCCAAATGACCTTAATCATCTCAACATACGATATACACAACAGAAACATAAGTTTCAATGAAGAACAATTTCAAGCATGAATTAAGCGCAGAATTTTGATTAGATTGGAATCTTAAATTATTAGAATACAACCATGAGACTTGCGGTTCTCAATGACAGTGTGCTAAATAACAAACTTATACGAATCAAAAAGCAGTGGCAGGGAACAAAATTAAGCAAATCACAATTACCTCAAATCGGTCAAGGCAGATCGATCTAATCACTGGAAGAATCACAACATGCACAAACATCGGAGAACCTTACCGTAGAAGACATTGTAAAATCAGAAATGAACACTGGTATAGAAGTAAGAGTAGGAATGGTGTCAAAAACGAAAACTGCTGCAACAAAAGTCCCCCTGAACACCAATACACAAGTTAATTTGCAGCACTATACAAAACTGATGCTAAATCCTAAACAAGTGAATAAGATCTAAGTTAGCACAAATAACATCAAAGTAAACAGATGATTCAACACAAGGAAATGAAAAATGAAACCTTGAACTGACGCGATAAAGGCAAATAACAGCACAAAATAAAGCCAAAAGATAATAAAAGCTTACACATTACATGTTACACGCCAATTGGTTAATAAACAAGAAACCAACAAACACAGAATAATAGGCATTGTGAAAAACGAAGAGCCGCCAGCTACAGAACCATGAAGCACCATAAACAAAAGATCCCAGGAAAGAACTCTGAATATGCACACGGAACTGAGTCAGGAAAGAAGGAAAAACAAAAAACCAAAAAAACCTCACCAAGCACTTGCAACATTGGACAGAACTAAGACAAATATTCATTTATCAATGCAGGGCCCGCTCAAGTATTCTCGCATCTGGTCCGTGCTAGCAAGTTCACCACAGCAACATTGGCTCGTCATAAGCAGAAGGGCGGCACGTCTATATATCAGCTGAGTGATTGTGCGCTTCAACATATACAGGATGTTGTGCAAAGACACCGAGAGCGTGATGACTAGGAGTTCGAATCTGATGAGGACCAGGAATCCGTTAGTTGTTTTGGAAGAGGGTTGCTCAGAGGACTCAGAGTGGGAGCCCTCTACCTACACATAGTGCAGGATTAGAATCAATAAAAGAGGCTGTTGGACAGTTTCTTAGCATTTGTTACTAAATTGAAGCTCATGTAACACTTGTACAATGATTTTTTGAATGGTTCTTGCTTGCTGATTCATGCAACGTCACCCGTCCCATACCCCAACTTCGTAGTTGCTTTGCTTTGCTGCATGTACTTGCAGTTACTTTGTTGATGCAGTTACTAGAGTTTCTTCCAATCTCGATGTTGGAAAAAGCGTGTGGTAGACTGCCTTAAATTCCGCGCAAAAGCTTTCAGCGGAGACGGCGGATTTTCCATAAACCTCGTATTCGATAAAATGGCAGAATCCAGTGATTTTGGCATAGTTTTGGGCGCCCGCCGAAAACCTGAAATCCAAAGCTGTACTAGATTTCAAAGCTTTTAGTTCCCTGAGAGTCATAATTTTGGCAATTGGATTCTGCCATTTTATCGAATATAAGGTTCATATTAACATACTTAGTAGGGGACCGATCGATATTAACACGGCACCTGATGGCAGATTATCGGAATTCGAGATAACATATGACCCTCAGATAATCTAGATAACATACTTAGTAGGGGACCGATCGATATTAACATATCTGAGGGTCATATGTTATCTCGAATTCCGATAATCTGCCATCAGACTGCTGGTTGCCATGCATGGCTTTAATAGCAATCCTTCAAACTCTTTCCTGATTATTTCACTTCAAGGACTGTACAAATGTGGTCAGGAGAAGTATTTCAGCTGTGTGGTAAACTTCATTTCACAAAATTAGCGTTGTCAAACTGGAGCTCTACATTCAAATGAAGATTACGTACGTAGACATCGGCCCGAAAATAACAACATCCTATGAACACGAAAGCAAACTCAACAAAATTGCACACAATCTCATTCTCAGACCAAATAACTCCAACAACGAAAGTGGTGATGCAATCTGCAATTGGAATGCAATCTATACACACACCTCGAGCGAACCTTGAACTCAACCAACAACCCCACCACATCAGACATGATCAAATGTTCAAGTTAGTAGCAGATCTCATATTACTCAGTCTCACATGCGCAGAGGGATCTGGCAGCTAGTGTAAAACCACGTGATCATTCGTCTAAAGACCAACTTCAGCAATCATGCGCAACAAAATCACCAAGTTAATGTAAGAAATTACAATGAACCAACGTTTTTTTTCCTTGATCAATGTAATTGAGCAGAGGTCCTCATTCATGTCAGTCCACTATTCTGTTTAGTTGCAAACCTTGCTTCGAAGCTGCATGAACAGCGTCCAGGTCAAGGGCTTGGTCGCGAACGCCATGGGCTCCACCATCGACACGGACTTCCTCTACAATGCCACTGCGCTCAACAGCAACTGCAAGTTGGACTTCAAGTACGATGGGATCACCACCGACGTCTCCAAGTTCGTATTTGTCTTTCCGTTGACCTTGGAACTGGATTGCAGTCCAGAATAAAACGTTTTTAAATTTGAAAAAAAAGTATTCACGCAGTGCGCATGCATGCAAACGTACTAGTAGAAGAAAACAAAACGAGACAAAACCTCCTCTACCAAATATCTCTACTTCATGTTCACCACCACTGCCCTTACGGAGCTACTGCTTTCTAAAGCTCAGAGGGATAGATCTTTGCCGGGACTTTGTTCCGCTTACGATGGAAACGCTCTCCTTCGATGCTCCGGCAAGGCATCCGGGACCATTCTTTCCAGCTGCAGCAGATACCAACTCCTCCTTCAAACCTCTTTTCTCCAACTACTGCAGGGGATCTGCAAAGCCAAGTAACTCATTCATATCCTAGTCGATAGTGGTTTAAATTGTTTAAACGGGCTAGTTTGGTCTTCGTCACTGTTGCTGCAGGCTCCTTTTCAAGCTCCTTCTTGCTCTTCACGACCTCCTTATCCATGGCTTCAATTTGTGGGTCTGATTCCTCCAGCACCCTGGTCCTTGTCCTCGAATGATTGCTTCCAGAGAGGGTCTGCTACTATTGAACACAGCCCTCTTTTCATAAATGATCTTAGCTGCACCAGTGTTGTAATCCTTGCCCTTCATCACCACTGTCATCCAAATACTCAACAGCACAATTCTCGTATGAGGACTTATTCGAATCTTGAGATACTCCCTTGCTTTTAGAGGTTTTGCTTGCTTTTCCAATTAGTGGATCCAACGCTGCATCATCGGCACCTCCCAGAGAAAAGAGCACGGGTTCACCACTAACTTCGGCTTAATTGTTTCACATCCAGTAATCTCCTTCTTGCAGATTGGACAAAGCCGTAAGCTTTGGATGCACCCAGAGCAGAATGTATACCTGCAACCCTGCACGTGATCAATAAATATTATTCTGGATTACGGATGGGAAATTGAAGATCGTGATGAGCCTATTAGCTAACCAAAAATGCAAAATGATCCTAAACTATTAACAAAATAGCTGGCATTTCGAAGAATTAGCTGAGGACTACCTTCAAATTACTGTTGCTGACTTTTTCTTGCAGACGTGACAGAGCAACTGTGGATTATGATCCCCATCGATAGGTAGCGGGGCCGTTTTCGGGATCACATTTGCCTTGCTTGATTGGGATAAAGTGAGGATAATCTTCTCTGCTTCATTGCTTTTCCAACGCTATTGGGGCATCTTGGCAATGTACTGGCTTAGATGGCTACTACAGACTCTGAACAATGAGCAAACCCTAAACCCTATACCCTTCCGGAATGAAGAACCAGCAGATTTCTTTGAATCCTGGTTAGTTTTGTTCAAAGACTTACATCCCTTACATTTTGTTCAAGGACTTACAAACAGATTGAGCTAGAAATCTGGAGGCAAGACCATAAGGGAAAAAAATTGAGACGAACCTCACGAGCATGATCACAAAAGTGGCCGAACTCATGCCGGACAAGAGCTAGCAATCTGAAAAGATATTCATCAAAGAACTTTAGGGTTTAGGGTTTAGTCAAAAAGCTTCATCACTAGGACAGACATCTCGTACACCTGCGAGAACATAGGAAGTCTTAATGATGGTTCATTTTGAGTAAATGAACTGCACTCTGGCGTTGGAACTGTGGCCGTGTAGTGGACCAGGACTTATCTTTTGATTGATACCAGCAGAATTATTGCATACCCGGGGCCAGATCTACGCATACATCAATTTATCATTGTTTTTTATTCATATCAAGCTTGGGAGTTACCTGTGGTGTTAGGTTCTAGATTACGGGGTTTGGTACCAACTTAGGATAGAACCTGAGGTTGGTGATACCTCAGCTGCCACAGCAGCACCATCTGCACAACAATGCACGTTCCAAAGTCTTGTTTCGGTATTGATAAAGCTGTAAACTGCATACCGTGTTGTTATGTGAGCCAGCCTTGATGATGGACCTCATTACATCATATTAACAACTAAATGAACATAGTAAAAGCTAATTTGCAAGTCTGTTAGTTATTTACGTTCCAGGCACTTATTTACTTGATTATGAGCACGGAGTAGGTGTATATATCTTACGATGCCTGACAGCTTTGGAAGCCAACCAGAATAGAGTTAGGAAGAGCATTAGTGAAAGGAACTCCTCGTAACATTCTGCAAATATATTAAGATGATAAAACAGTTAGGATCAGTTATTAGTATCACAACTCATCAAATAATTGAGCAATACTGATGAACAACTGACCCAGTATACCCCAATGCTTGAAACTCTTATCAACGTGTTTAAGTGGTCCGACTTACAATGTCTGCAAATTTTTGAGATCATTCGACCACTTGGAAAACTGTCCAGGTGTGAAATTGTTGTAGCTCAGGTCTCTGCTAATATGTGGACAACAGTAAAGGTAAAGCAATCTTTCACTCAATAGACAGACACCATTAAGCCGATGAAGAGGCCTCGAGATATAAATATATGATCATGAAAATCTATCAATTACACAATTCTGCCAAATACAACTAGCATTAGCATACAAAAATTCCAGTCCGATCAGGAATGACCCCTAAACCCTAAACCCTAAACCCTGGTATTTTAGGGTATCAGCCTAATATCACATAGATATCAGTCGAGCACATTGTAAACCACTATGGATTCCTTGTGGTAAGGAATACTATGGTTGTTTATTCTCATTCACGCATCTATCATCATTGGTGATGATACGTTTGTATGCAGGATGCGTTGTTGGCAGCGCATCTTTTTACTACCAGCAAGATTTTTGTGGACAAAGCCACAATGGATCAGCTCTGCTTGTGATCCTCAAAGCAGCCTCTAGAGGCAGCCATATTGAAGTCTCCAAATGGGGGTCCACTCTGGAGAGGTGAACAGATATTCGGGCTATCACTGCCAACGCAGTTAAACATGGGCTCTCCAGCTGAAAATACTTTAATCCAAGGTGGGGAGATTACGAAGTGGAACGAAGCCACAAATCTGCTGCGCAGAGACAAGGAGGGAATGCATCAGCTCTGTGTCTCCAACTCGGTCCACTGGCGCTACTCGACTACTTGAACAACGCCACAGGATTGCTGCACGCCTGGCTGCAAGCACAGGGATTTAGCTCCGGACTGGTCGACTACCAAGTCACGCACAGTTCAGCAGCCAGAGCAAAAATGCACCAAAGAATCTTCGAAGAGTACTTTCAGAAGTCCATACAAGAATCGTGTAACTCGGTGCGCATTCTCGGTCCAGAGCAGATCATGATGAGCCCAGAAGGTCTCACCAGGAACGTAGGAGTGTTGGAGCAGGTTGCACAGGAGATATTCCGAGCGCGAGAATAGATGCTGAAAAAAAGATAATGAAATATGCTAAGAAAAACAATCCTTTGCTGTTGATGCTAAAATCCGGGAGCAAAGGCTCAAGAGGCAAACTGCTCCAGCACGTTGCAGGCATGGGGCTGAGCTCTATAAGGGAAGGCACCTCTTTCTACTTTCAGGTGTAAGTCGTCCTTCGATCTCAGACGATCCGTTGCTAGATTGGTCGAAGAACAGAAGTCTCGTTCAAAGCTCACTTCTTGATGGACTGAAAGCCACTGAGCTCTTCAACCACGTAGTTGCTGATCGCACCAATAATATCCGGAAGCACATCACGGTGACACAACCCGGAACACTCTTCAAGTCCTTGATGTTGTTTCTGCGCGATCTGCAGGTTGCGTATGACGGGAGCCTGCGTAGTCGAAGTGGGAAAAATATCACTCAATTCTGTTATGGAGAAGCCGAAGGTGTGCGAGGGCCGAGTGGTGTGTGGGAAGAGGACGACCAGAAACGGTGGCGTTTCTCTCGTTTAGCTGGTGAACCTGTTGAAGTCCTGGCGGCAACTGCCTTCTCTCAACCTGCTTATGGTGTTATGTTGGACGCGCCAATAATAAGTGGTCCTTTCAATCCAGGCCCGCTGGATCTTCTTCAGGTACCTAGCTCTGGCTACATCAGAAATGTTTTAGCTCATTACGTTTGAAATCAACTACTTCTGGAGTATGTGGTTGGTAGAAATGTAACTTTTCCACCGAGGTAAGGCATTGGATGAATATTTTTTATTTCAAAACTTGAGAAACATTCCTTCCTTCTACTGCAGATGACTTTAATCGTTTTACCGCTGGGATATGTTCAACTTTTCCCGACGAAGCGTGCATTGAGTTTGTTCGTTTCTGAACCAGGAAACACTTTATGCACGCGAGAAAACAGGTTTGAAGCAGATTGATCGGTGTGGGATCATAATACTTGAACAGTGTCGATGTACGAGACCGTTCTGTCTGGAAAAGAGTGTGCTTGTAGTGCATGCTTTCTTGACAAAGATCACTTTAAGAGAACTAGCTGAAAGCAGTGCTATCCAGTAAGAATATGTACCCATCCTACTAAATTTTGTATACATGTAGATTCAATTTTCAACTGTAGATTCTGATCAGATGTTAGAAATTGGTATTTAAGGCACCACTTTCTTCATCGTCAATACTAGTGGAGATGTTGCATTCGTAAGCAAATGCGTGACGTAGGGCTCAAATTAGGTACATTCACGTAATTTAGTGTGATATGTCGTTCTATTTCACTTCTTTGAGAACTATGCACAGATTGTGCACTGAGGTTGTTTTGCGTTGGGCTTTCTAGGTCTTGGAACATGGAAGATACCACATTAGCTGGGCCTTGTGGTGATGCGCTTGAGTCAGCCTCACCCTGGCTAGGACATATAAAGCTGTCTCCGGTAAATTATCCCTGCTTTGATGGCTTGTTACTTGGATGGGAAAAATCATGTTCTCAATGATTCTACTTAAAATTGATTTGGTTTCAATTAGACTACAAATAGTCATGAATCGCTTATTTTGTTGTCAAGCTATTGTCTTTGATGTCACTGCATAATCCTTTGTTTACTGAAGGAGATAGTAGAAACAACATAAATTTCTTAGAAGAATTTAAACCTGGCCAATGTCACTATGCCTTCTCTATCACGTGATATATATTTTGATTCTATGTATTTCTTCTTCCAAAAACATCGGAAAGGGATACAAGCCGAGAAGGATGTGCATGCAAATCTGGAGGGACCTTTACGAGAATTGCATCCCGGATAAAATCATTCCACTCTCACCGCCTCCTTCACTCCCAAGCCTGCGCATTGTGCCACTGGATGTGGACAATGGAGCAGCATTCTCACCAGAGCACGCAGATCCTATTAGCAAAACTACAGACGACATGTGGAATAATTCGTCAAATCAAAATAATGGTGTAACCTGGAGAAATTCTCCAGAAGCCGGAGATGGTGGATGGAGTGGTGATGGCACAGCAATTATTGGTGGAGGTTGGGATCAGGACGGGGAGCAAGGAGAGCAAGGTGGCTGGGGGTGTCAAAAAATTACATCTGGGGATACTAGGGAGCAAGGTGGTGGATGGAGTGACCCAGGTGATGGATCGGTTAGGTTACCATCAAACGGAGGTGATAGAGAATGAAGCATACAAAAATTCCTCTAAAGACCTTGGAGGATGGGGGACGAGCAATTAAGATGAGGGAAATAGCACTAATTGGGGACAGATCCAATCAATCGTCAGGATGGGATGACAGTCCGAGCAGCACAATGACACCACCTGAGCGTAATGTAAAACTAAGTGAGCTCGACACTGAATGTCCGGATGCTCCCCAGCAACCTCAAGATCGAGATGAAGGTATGTAGCTTAATCACATCTGCTTCGGGTGAAAATTATGTCTTCAATTAAGAGGGCATGTGAATTTTTTATTCCGGGTTTACTAGACTACGTTGACATGCACATATTAAATTCAAAAAGACCAGTCAGAAAGTTTCGTGCCCATGTCAGAAAGTATCCAACATTGAGTTTCTTTTAAAATTCTTGCCCATGCCCAGTAACTTATTACTTAGTAGTGTTTGTTGTGCAGACGAGGATGTGGATTGGGGCCAACTGGTTTCAGAGGTAAAAAAAGGCCACGAATAATCAAGGAGCATCATCATCTGCAGCCGGTGGTTCTGCAGGTTATGGATGGGACACAGTCCTGGTGCCAGAAAATATACAAGCTGCGGGAATGATTCGGCCTGCAGTTGCAACACACAAATCCTCAGTTGGAACCACGACTCACACTCTCTGGCAGTTTGGGATTAGTGACCCTGAGCGCAAAGAGATTGACGATGATGTAAAATCCATGCGACGAATGTTGTTCAAGAAGTACGTACTTCTGTTACAATATTTTATTTCCCAGTAATGCGTGAATCCGCAATTCGCACTCGAAGCAATTTGCTTACAAGAATGAACTCACCAGAGAATTTATGTCCTGAAATTGCAGTAATCACGAAACTGGATTCGGCACCAGATTACCTGAAAAAGACGATGAGGCGGTTCGGGCTGTGCTTGCTTACCACCCATATTTCAAGGAGAAGGCTGGAAGTGCGTGGAATACATCAAGGTTCTCAACTCCTCTACTCCTAGTTTAAAACTATGCAATAGATGTACTCAACAAATACTTAAGGCGAGTTATTTATCTTACACCCATTTGAAATTTAAAACCCTATAACTTTTTCACTGAATGTCGGGTTTAGGAAAAAATTGTATTCCTAATGAAGTTTTAGTAATGCCATTCTACAATAAAAATTTCAAAGAGGAATGTTAAAAATTAACACCATAGGAACCTGACCAAACTTTCAAAAAGCCCATTTTTGACACTTGGTACCTCAAGAGTTTAAGAGGTGGGAATTCGGGGGCCTTCGGAAACTGCAGAGCATTTTCGAGTTCACCACCCTCCTCCAACAATTCTGCATCACCATTTGCTAAGTTCTCAGTTGCATGAAAGGGTGCGATTTCCTCTATCAAACTATGAAAGAAATCGCCAAAGATATAAGTTTCCTGCATATTATAATTAAATTCCTGTTTGTCAGTTCCTCGATTTGCATCTTGAGGATATGCTCATTAACCCCTAAATTTCTATGACAACTTCACACAAAAAACACTTCAAGACTGCTGCTTCTAGTGCAATCAGT